AAAGTAAAAGTGATTGAATTTCCTAAAGGAATTTCCTGGATCTATTATCTTGTGACACTCCGAGTTGTGCGTTGTTGATATCATTAGCGTTTTGTGTAATGTGTCCACTTTATTCTTTTAATTACTCATACGAAGAATAAGGTTATTAACGTTACGGTACTAGTTGCGTTATCTATCAACAGGGCAACCTGTTACAATCTCACTCACACTGTGTGAATGAGATAATGCATTTTCACTACTGCGTAAATACATACAAACACATAACGCCGAATTCGAAGATTACACGCATCGATTGAAATTTTTATTCGTTAATTTTGTTGATGATTTTGTAAATCCAAAGTAATATATTTTCCAGATCAATTTCCAAATACTAACAATATGAATTCGAATTATTATATTATTAATCTACTTCGACCACGTGGTGACACTGATAACCAACGTGTCACCACAAGCCACGAAAGCCTCCGCCATTCCAAACAAGACCCCTCCCCCACCTTCTCCCGATACGTCCACTCCTCCGGGAACCCCTCGCTGGTCTCAATCGCATGCAGAAATTGCAGCTCATTGATAGCTTCGCATTGACGACCGAAAAGGACCAACCACAGCTGTTCCAAGTGGCCGCTATTTAAACCAGTACCTTCCAGAAAAGTAAAAAATACCCACACCAAGGATCGAACCCGGGTGAAACAGTTACTAACCTCTATAGATGGCCGCACTCCCACGAGACGATTTTTCCTTTACTAAAATACTCTTCACAAAAAGCCTCTCCAACCACTTCCGCAGTAAATTCTGCAACCCCCTTTTATGACGATACAGCAACAACTGCTCTCCCGAAGACATCACCAGTGGACTAGCATTCACCATAATCATACAACAAAGTGATCGGCCTTGGTCTTAGGAGCCATGATGAACACAACAATGTAGTTTCCAGTAACTTAGTAAATGCTAGCTAAAGGTCAGGCTAAGTATCAAGGATTGTGTGCAGGTGTCTCCGAAAAAGTCTACAAAAGACCTCCAACAAGGCGAGCCCTACCACACTTTTCTAAATCATCTAGGAAGCCATAACGCGGTATGGAAAAATAAGCACGTCGTGAAGTGCACGTTCAGATGACATCTGTGAAAATTTTGAGGAAATTCCCATTGCTTTCTGTACGATTTAAATTTCTATAATTAGTAAGGAAACTCCTAGATTCAGCTCATGAGCGCGTGAAACCCAAGAACTGTATGCATCGTCGGATAATATGAATATACAATAGCTATGCCAATGGGAACTACATAGCTCAGCTAATGGCTGAGTCACCATAAGAGTCACCATAAAAGGGACATTAATTTCAACACATTCCTGTACATTTCTAGTCGCCGTATAATCAATGAGAAAACTCTTAAGCTCAGTTGCGAACAGTAACTCAACACTGGTGGGAATTTTGAGGGAATTCCTATCAGTGTCCGTACACTTCTACCCGAATTTGTATGTAAACTGCTTTAACTAGTGAGGAAACTCAGCCGAAGAAAGCGAACATTTTTTCCAATACTGTGTTGGGAAAAAATGTTCGTTTTCTTCGGCAAACTGCCATAATGTTAGATTTTACCACAGACCTAAGACCACATTCTTCAATCACCTTCTAATGCCAATCTGAAATTTCCCTCCAAAAAAAACCAAGTAATTTCCCAAAAGTTGATGAATTCCTGATACTTCCCACTGCACTCAACACCTTTTCTCAAAGGGAAGAACTGGGAAGGACAGAGCAATTATGATGATGATGACCAAAGAAAATAGGCTCGATCATTCAATAAAGAGGCTTATAAGAAATCATGCAGATCTCAGTCAACATCAGCACTGGCGAGCACTGCCGGATACTTCTCCTCAGCTTCGTGGTAAAGTCTCGTTTCCAGAGGTTCCTACAAGAAAATTTGATACTCACAAATTGTGAAAAATTTACACGAAATTTTCAAGATCTAGAGTTGGTCAAAATTCTAAAAAAAACTTAAAATTCATCACAATCAAATGACAATGTAAAAGTTGCATAAATTTATTCTCTACAAAATCCTAAAACTCATCACAATCAAATGACAATGTAAAAGTTGCATAAAACTCATCCCTACGAAAGCTTCAAATTCACCACAATCAAATGATAACGTAAAAGTTGCATAAAGTTGGAGCTTACAAAAGGCTTATAGATAACCCATCTGAAGTTCTTCGCTTGACTGCATTGCACAGCGCTCAACGGGGCATCCGAAACCTGCTCAAAAACAACAATTCCATCGAAATTCAACAACCCTAAGCCGGACGATTTTACCCATGTAAAAACGTTCACAAAACGTTGAGCGAAGTTTTATCACTATAATTACTGTCAACTCTCCCGATTCGGTTAAATAAAACAAACATAAGTTGCATTAAATCAAGATGAACTACAATCATTTGACAACGTAAAAGTTGCATAAAATTTAGCAAGCGAAAATGCACTTCATTTAATTGATAATACAAAAGTTGCATAAAATTAAACCTCCACCTCCTGCACGCATGCACAACTCACCGGGGCGAAATCGAGACACGTCCGATCAGGCCCTCCCCGTATGAATCCAGCTTTACTCATTTCCCAAATCTGGTTAGAATTACTTCCATCAGTGTAACAAGTGTACCTGAAAGTAGACGATAACAAAAAAACGAAGATTGGAAAAAAATCGGAAAAAATTTCTCGGAATGAAAGTTGACCAACAACAAACACCCGGAAAAAAAAACGGAAAAAAAACCAAAAAATTCAAAGCCAGATTGGCTCAACAGTAAACACCTTAAAAACGAGCGAACAAAAAAATACCAGAGATTCCTCGAAACTCAGAGAGTAGATCACCAGCATGAACCGAAGAAAAACCGGGAAAAACAACAAAAAAACCCGGAAAAAACTGGAGAACCGGGGAAAAAACGAAAAAAACTGGAGAACCGGGAAAAAACGAAAAAAAATCGAAAAAACCCAAAAAAAGCCAAAAAACCGAAAATCCAAAAAATCCGAAAAAAACCGAAGAAACAGTGCTTACAGTTGAGGTTTGCTTCCCCCGCCAGCATCCAAGCAAAGTCCAGATTCCTGATTTACCAACCCTTTGAAATCAGCATATTCCCATTTTTGCGATGATGATTCTCCATCACATTGGGACACCTGAATAACAAAAATTATCAAAAAAAAATCCAGAAATTTTTTCATGAAAAAAAATAAACTTCACCAACCTACTGCAAGCCCCGTCTTCTCGTTCGCCCCGAGGCACCAATTGCCATCACGAAGGGAAAAGTATTTGCCATCCGCTGAAAAAAAACAAGTCACGACATAATCGTTCGAGGGAAAAATTCACACCTTCGGACTTCTTTTCACATCGTTGAAATTTTCACACGAGCTGATTCACGAACAAATCTGGCGATCAAATTTCTAAGCGCGATAAACACTAAAACCTCTATGGGAAAAAAGAAATACGAAATGAACATCATAATTTTCCCAAAGTCAGAGGGAAAAAATCCAACGAAAACTGGAAAATATTCAAATTTTCTATCACTAAATTTTTTTCTTCTCATCGAAAAATGGAAAAAAATCAGAGCAGAAAAATTGTGCCGAAAATTTTTCCCCAAACTTACCACTAACAAAATCCTTTTTAAATTTCTGACCATATTTCGTCACCCCATCCTCCGACACGCATCCTTCTAACACCACCTAACACAAAAAAACGGGGAAAAATTTAAATTTTACGGATTTCCGGAAAAAAATATTCTTTTTCCGATTTGTGATGGTTGTTGTTTATTACGCGCGATGGAGATATTACGTATGCGTTTTTAATGTAAACATTAGTGTTGGAGTAGGAATATATGTTCGCTTTCCTCAGCTACTGAGCTCAGGAGTTTCCTATACAGTGTTGGAGTAGGAATATATGTTCGCTTTCCTCAGCTACTGAGCTCAGGAGTTTCCTATACAGTGTTGGAGTAGGAATATATGTAATCGCTTTCCTCAGCTACTGAGCTCAGGAATTCACATACGAATTCCAGCAGGGGTGTATGGAAACCAATTTCCTCACATTTTCTCAAAAATTTTCACCAACACGCGTACTCAACCAATGTACACTTTTTCTATTGGAAAATTTCCAATACCCAAATGCACAACCTTTAGTGAGAATATATAAAAACCAACAAAATTCCCAAAAATTTCCTCAAAAATTTTTATATTATCACCAACACATGTAGTTGACCATGTGCATTTTTCCAATACCCAAATTCATACACATGAAAGTATATAAAAACCAACAAAAATTTCCCAAAATTTCCACAAAATTTTCATATAATCACCAACACATGTAGTTGACCATGTGCATTTTTTCCAATACCAAAATTCATACACATGAAAGTATATAAAAACCAACAAAATTTTCCACAAAATTTCCTCAGAATTTTCACCAACACATGTAATTGACCATGTGCATATTTTCCCATACTCCTACCTGCTGTATCGTCTTCGCTTCGTTTTTCACCGAAAAACATTTTCCCAAATTCGAGTTTCCCACAAATCTGAACATTCCACATACTTTTCAAAAAATCACAAAAAAAAATTTCTGCTACCGTATCGCTCCGCCGTTTTTCCGATCCTCAAATTTCCA